CAAACCAACTAACTAACTAAAAATCGAACAAACAGACAAACCAATCTAACAAACAAAACAAACTAACAAACAAACAAAGGAATAAGCGAACTAACAAACAAACAAACTAACTGTCAAACAAGCAAACAAACAAAGAAACTAATGAACTAAACAAAAAAACACAATTAATCAATCAAACAAACAAACAAACAAACAATCAATCAATCAATCAAACTAACCAACAAACAAACCAACTAACAAAGAAACAAAGAAACAAAGAAACAAACAAACAAACCAACCAATCATACAAACAAATTATCTAAAAAGCAAACAAACAAACAAATTAAATAACAAACAAACAATCAAATTAACTAACAAACAAACAAACTAACAAACTGAGAAACAAACAAACGAATCAATCAAACATACAAACAAACAAACCAATCAATCAAACATACAAACAAACTAACAAGACAAACTAACTAACTAACTAACTAACTGACTAACAAATAAACAGACTTACTGACAAACAAACCAACTAACTAACTTAATAACTAACAAACAAACAAACCAACTAACTAACAAACAAACAATCAATCAAACTAACCAACAAACAAACCAACTAACAAAGAAACAAACTAACTAATTGACAAACAAACAAACCAATCAATCAATCAAACAAACAAACAAACAAACAAACAAACTAACAAACAAAGAAACCTATCAAACTAACTAACTAACTAACTATCTAACGAACAAACAAACTAACTAACTAACTAACTAACTGACTTACAAACAAACAAACAAACAAACTGAGAAACAAACAAACAAATCAATCAAACATACAAACAAACTAACAAGCAAACTAACTAACTAACTAACTGACTGACTAACAAATAAACAGACTTACTGACGAACAAACCAACTAACTAACTAACTAACAAACAAACAAACCAACTAACTAACTTACTACCAAACAAACAAACCAACTAACTAACTAACTAACAAACAAACAAACAAACAATCAATCAATCAAACTAACCAACAAACAAGCCAACTAACAAATAAACAAACTAACTAACTAACAAACGAACAAACAAACCAATTAACTGACTAACAAACAAACAAACAAACCAATCAATCAATCAAACAAACAAACAAACAAACTAACTAACTAACTAACTAACAAACAAACAAACCAACTAACTAACTAACTAACTAACAAACAAACAAACAAACAATCAATCAATCAAACTAACCAACAAACAAGCCAACTAACAAATAAACAAACTAACTAACTAACAAACGAACAAACAAACAATCAATCAATCAAACTAACCAACAAACAAGCCAACTAACAAATAAACAAACTAACTAACTAACAAACGAACAAACAAACCAATCAATCAATCAAACAAACAAAGAAACCAATCAATCAAACAGACAAAGAAACCAATCAATCAAACAAACAAAGAAACCAATCAATCAAACAGACAAAGAAACCAATCAATCAAACAAACAAACAAACAAACAAACAGACAAACAAACTAACTAACAAACAAACAAAGAATCCTAACAAACTAACTATCTAAATAACTAACAAAGGAACAAACAAACAAACCAAGAAACCAATCAATCAATCAAACAAACAAAGAATCCTAACAAACTAACTATCTAAATAACTAACAAAGGAACAAACAAACAAACCAAGAAACCAATCAATCAATCAAACAAACAAAGAATCCTAACAAACTAACTATCTAAATAACTAACAAAGGAACAAACAAACAAACAAGCCAAGAAACCAATCAATCAAACAAACAAAGAAGCCAATCAATCAAACAGACAAACAAACAAACAAAGAAACCAATCAATCAAACAAACAAAGAAACCAATCAATCAAACAAACAAAGAAACCAATCAATCAAACAAACAAAGAAACCAATCAATCAAACAAACAAAGAAACCAATCAATCAAACAAACAAAGAAACCAATCAATCAAACAAACAAAGAAACCAATCAATCAAACAAACANATCAATCAATCAAACTAACAAACTAACAAACTAACAAACTAACAAACTAACAAACTAACAAACTAACTAATTGACAAACAAACAAACAAACAAACCAATCAATCAAACTAACCAACAAACAAACCAACTAACAAAGAAACAAACTAACTAATTGACAAACAAACAAACAAACCAATCAATCAA